AAAAAAAACTTTTATTAGATAGATACAAATTAGAAAGGAATGTGATACTTTAAGGTACTAGTGTTTTAATTCTAGAGATAGTAAGCAGCCTTAAGAGACAAGTGACAATTATTGAGTAACTAGTCCGTGGCAGCCATATTTCACATGCATCATCCCATTTATTTCTCAAATTAATATCAACAGTGCTATAAATACTTTTATTTCCATCCTACAAACATTATAAAGGAACAGAGGTTTAAACATTTTTAAAAAGTTATCCCCAAAGTCACCACAGGCACCCTGAATTCTGAATCTAAATATGTCACTGTTTCCAACTGCATCACTCATACAATGTCCAGCATAGTTCTGACAGATGAGAGGCTAAGACCAAAGGAAAAATTAAAACAATGACCTATAATCCTGGCTAACAGGACCTTTGGAAAATAATGCATCTGTTACTAACTCATATTTTTTCATTCTTAATTAATATGAATAAATAAACTCTTCTTTCTTTGTGCATATAGGGAATGAAGCAGTTAATGTGTGCAAAACATTTTTTAGATACTAAAGAAACTTCTATTTCTCTAGGAAGAATGACTTTTTTCTGTTACTGTAATAGGCCCAGATAAATAGGTCCACATCACTGTCAATCAACTCAGCCTCCAAATCATCATCAATCTCAAATATGCAATGTTTTTGAGAGCAGATCCTGTCGCATATTTCTTTTGTATTTCCCAAATAATCTCACACAGTGCTGGTTGGGTAGTGGATGCATAACATTCATCTTAAAGTGATGGAGTGGGTAATTAAATCAAACTATTGTCCAATATCTACTTGAAGTACCATTTATAGAGCCAATTTTATGGTAATATAAAAGAGAATTCATTAAATGTCTGGACACAATTAGCCCAAGTTGCTTCATGAAGATACATTATAACCTTGGCTCATAGTATAATTCAATTGATTTTTAAAAGGAATAATAACCTATTTTTATTATCATATATAAGGAAATGTTTTATTTCTCTTGCTTGCCTTTCAGAGAAACTCAGGAAATGTTAGTGTAATACATTTTGAAAAATCACTTACCTACTAGCTGAAATTTCACCTCTTATACCTCTAGTAAATGTACAAAACTACTCCATTTTAAGCATTTATCCTATACGAACTCTACTCTGAACTTTAAATGCACTGCATCCCTCAATATTTATAACAACTATAAAATTGAATCTATTATGGCTACCATTTTATATATGAAGAAACTCATTAAGAGAGTTTACATATTCAGAGAGTTACAAAATCTGTAGCACAACCTGATTCAAACTTATACAGAATAACTCTAAATTGATCTGTTCTTAACTCCATGCTATTAACCATGATGCTACATGCCTACCTGCTGTGTAGTCACTTTTTAGAAAACGAGATTTCTTTTGCTATCTATCTCTGTAAAATTCTTCATCCTTCTCTTTATAAGAGGAAGGAAGTTAAAAAAGGAAGAAGGAGGGAAGGAAAGGAGGAAGGGGGAGAAAAATATCACTCAATGTCTAAGACCCCACTCATCTTTAAGTGATGAAGTGGGACCCATCAACTTTTTTACACTAGTCAACATTTTTGAATAATAGACTATGAAGTGCCATTTTGGTCTGACTTGATGTCATTTTGGTTTTGCTTTGCGTTTATCAGGAGAGGTATTCTTGCAGATTAAGGAGCCGCTGGAAGATATATATAAAATCTACTGCTATCACCATGATGAAGCGCATAGTGTGCTGGAGTCCTATGAAAAGGAGGAAGAGCTGAAGCAACATTTGAGCCACTGTATCCAGTCCTTAAAGTAAGCCCTTTTCAAATGGGTGATTCCCATCTTCTCTTCATTGCCTAGTAGGGGACATTTTTAAATGGATGTAGATAAAAGATCTCACATAAATTCTGTGTTTTAGGAGGCTTGCTGGGCACTCTGCTTTGTATTTCCTTTATGAAAAAGCTGACATGCCAGAAGCCTGGATTGACTTTTTTTTCTCCCTCTGAGAGACTGACTAAAAATAACATGGGAAAAGATTCAGGGCTGTGTAGAGATAGAAAAATGCAATATCAAAAAAATAAAATATGGAAGAAAAGCCCTTTCTTAAAGCTATTGCAATGTGTCTGCTCCTTCAGAGTTCAAGGAATATGTGAGACAACATGTAGCCCCATGACCCCTGCAGCACATGGGTTCTTAAGGTTAGTGGAATGCCCTAGACTCCCTGAATGGCCCTCCTCCTTCTCCCAATTCATTTTTGGGAAAGCATGGAGATTGTGAAGATAAGTCACACTGTCCTAAAATTAGTTTCAGGACACTTAGTCAAGCCTTCCTTCCTCATCATTAAAATGTTGTTGGGGGTCCTAATAATATTATTTTTTTTTCTAGAAGAAACAATCTGAAAAAATATAAGCAAGTGGGGCTAGAGTTGTAGCTCAGTGATAGAGTACTTGCCTTGCAAGTGTGAGGCATTGAGTTCAATCCTAGCACCATATAAAAACAAATAAAATCATTGAGTCCCAATCACAACTAAAAAATAATTTTAAAAAATAAGCAAGTATGAATAAGTATTTTTTTAAAGTCTTAACTATTTCACCATCAATTAATAAGTACCGTTTACATTTTCTTTTGATTCTTATATGCATAAATATGAGCCTATATTTGGGTTGATCCTTTCAGAGGAAATTGGCAACTGTCTATTCATAGTTTCCTACCATATGAAGCTTAAGACTGAAATTATTCTCTTGGTCCACAATCTTACCCAGAATTTTCTTGTGATTTTTTCATTTTTAAGGATTACCCACTGTTGGATGACCATGATTTGGCTAGGGATTAACCAACCAGAGAGAGCTGATTAAAAACCATTGTATACCAATCTGACTCCAGCACACTTCCCTTGGTATTCTGTTGCGTGGGGTGGGAGGGGAGGAGGGGTCCTAATGTGCTACAGTAAGTTTGTAGCAGCATTACAGTGAAATGAGACTGTTGTAGAGGAAGTCTTTCCAAGATAGGAACAGATCTGAAAATGGGTTTAACTAGAGCCCAGTGAATTTAAATAATAAACAAACAAACAAATACATAAATGCAATCTCAATTTTATTGCCCTCTACTGGCCATTAATAAATTACCATTCTTTAGTCTCTGCCCATCTATTTTTCCTCACATCCCCCCACCCCCAGACCGTGAAAAAGAATATATTCAAATCACTAAATTGTGAAAAGTTATTTGGTGCTTATGCTGTGGTAAGGATAGGTCTGGCTGTCAAAAAACAAAAATAAATAAGACTTTGTGTTCTATCCACAAGAAACTCAATATGATCAGACAATTCTTAAATAAAATGTTGTAACTAACTCTATTTTCACTTTAGTTCAGTGTTAGTATATCAATCCATAAAAGCATTAAAGTTTGAAGTTGCATTCATTTTAATAAATTTACATATAAAGATCAAAGTCTTCTAAAGTTATAGGTGCTTTTTCCTCAGGAAAAATAATGATGTTCTGGATATGAATGAACCCCTTCTTTAGCTTAAACAAATGGAAAGATCTGATCCAATAAATGTCTATCTTGAACCATTTTCCTTCTTCTGTTTCTAGAATTAGAAGAGAGAAATCTCTTAGCAAATGAAAAGCCAGCTCATTGTACCATCATGGTAAATCCAATCCTGGAGATGGAGGTTCTCATCTGGAGATATGGTTAATCTACGTTAGCCATGTTACTTCTGACTGCTCACAGGAAGTAGAGCTGTTTTTAGGAGGATTAACAATAATTTGTTGTTCATTAAATGATTGACTTCTAAGAGAAAGCAATAATTTCTGCTCAGGTATCCACAAGGTCATATAGCACCTCAGTGTCATGCCCCTAAAAAGCGGTTCAAGGCAGAGGTAATTTTGAAAACTCCTATGCCAATGATTGAAAATAGCTTCCAGACCCAATGACTTATTTGGTCTTTTTCTGAAATCTTTGAGTTATTGTCGATTTCTATCTTCATGCCCTAAATTTTGTGTATTCAGAACCATTCTGATTTGAAGGAATAATTTCAGTCCCTGGAAGGTGTCAAGGTTTAGAAAGCAAAAAATCCAAAGGAAGCAATATTGGCAGAACTATTTCTTAAAGGAAATAAAATCAAAATAAAATAGTTTAAGTTAGAGCTATTTTCCAAAAAGTTGCCTTTCCATGAAAATAAAGTTAATGATGAATTGTGCTGGTCTGCCTGAAGGCTAAGAGCAGTAGAATTATTGATATTACTGTAATACTGACCTCAATTGAGCTAAGCCTTAAATTCTGAGAAACAGGTTTTCAAACAGGTTTATAGGCCAAAGAGAGTCTGGAACACCCTGAGGGCTTGGTTTCCCTTGCCAAGTAATCAGTCAAAGCTATTACTGTCACTCTGTCTTTTCCTAGTGGCTAAATAACAGAACCCAAGTGCATTTGCCATTTCTAATGAATATTAGGTGCAGCCTCTATTTCCTACCATGAAAAGGAATATTTGGAACAACTTGGTTTGAAGCAATATCCACGAGAGAGATAGCTTCAAGCTTCAGAAGCTAAAGTGGATTTTAAAGCATCTTAGGTTGCACTTTAACCAAAATTAAAATGTGTTTATTGAAGGCCTAATAAATATTTATTAAGAACACTAGATAATGTTGAAAATATTTTATTTTTAAACGCATAAGCATAGTTCTTGCCTCCCAGGAACACAAACTCTAGTTGGGGAGATAAACAAAACCTCTGGGAAGTTTAATAACAACGCAAGAGTTACTTTGTAAGTAACTTACCAGAAGCTCTCACAGTGGGTACAGTTCATGACTAATTTCCAAAAGGATGGCAGAGATATTGCCTGCTTCTGTAATAGATTCAAGCTCATAATCTTTGGTTATTCTTTGAAGTCCATTGTCATTCAAAAGGGAAAATAATATTAGTATCCAGAAAATAATTTTGAATCTTTTTGAAATGTGAGGGTAGCATTTCTTGTGTCTGAGTTCCCCTGCACTAGATCCACTGGGAATCTATTTTAAAGGTGCAGTTTCCTATGCTTCCCCCACCCCAGTCCAAACAAATAGGATTGCTGGTGGCCCATCCACATCTGTATCTTTAATGAGCACCCTCAGGTAGTTTTTGGCACACAAGCAAGAGCTACTTTAAAGAGATAAATCAGGCCCACAGTGCTCACTGGCTGCTTTTCCTGAAGCAGATGAGTGTGTTTTTCATCTTTATAGATTCAATCTAAGCAAAATCTTTGGAATTTGGAGACCTTTAGAAAGACTTTAAAACTATTCAGAAGTACAGTGCACATCTGTATCTGCAGCGTACAAATCAGAAATTTGCAAGTTTTTATTTACTCAGAGTATTCACAGAGTGGCATTAATGATCCCTAAGATTGTGTGCAACACTGGGTTAATACAGGCTCTAAAGGTCTGGAAGTTGTTTGCCAAAGATCTGATTACTTAGACTCTTTGAGATTATTTAAGGTTTTTGATTTGTATGAGGAAAGTGAAAATAGATTAACTATAAATGCAAGCAGAGCTATAATTAGAATAGCCTGTCTGCTGCCGCCTTTTTCTGTTTTTCCAGATATAAACACTATTAATACTCCTTTTGCATTTGAGAGACCCCACAGATCTGTTTATTTTGTAATAGAAAAAGAAATAAATGACAAACTATTAGTATCTGGATACTTCGCTTGTGTTACTCCTGTAGCTTCTCCATTCAGAGAAGGTAAAAGCTCATGTGATACAAAATCTAAAGGAATGCATTTCAATATATTCACCACATTGTATGCTTTTAGAATGTTCCAAGTAAAAAAATAAATAAAAGCACGTTTGGAAATTCTTTCAGTTTCTTGTTATATGGCATCAAGTTTGAAACAAGACTATAATCCTTAAGGAATTTTCACATAAAAACTTTCTTGAGTCAAGTTGCACCAAGCCTATGAGGGAGCAGGTACAGGGATAGGGATATTAAATTACTTTGTCCCATCAAAGGATAATTGGACATTGTTTAAGTTCTTCCATCCTGAATTGTCCTTGGCTGGGATTAACTTTTGCAGATTTTCACCTCAAGTAAGATAGTTTAAAATAATGAGTAATTAAAAAGGAGATGTTATAATGCCGTGGCCCTGCCCTTATAGACTGTGGGTTCCCCTACTGGGAAAATTTATCAAGATCCTTTTTATCAATTGTTATACTACATTAAAAACAATTTTTAATTTGTGTTAAAATATTTAGGTTATTTGGTTGAAATAGATGAAGATATTGAAAACCAGAGGCTATGTTGGTCAATGTATGAACATAGGTTATTATATAATTTCTCGATAGCCAGATGTGGTTTTCAGAGAAAAAATTCCTGTCTATTTTGCTAACTAATTAATTTGACAAATCTTTTGAGCTCTTACCAAATGCCAGTCACTTTTTAGGATTGGGGTCACAGCAGTGAACAAATCAAGCATAAATTCATGTATAGGGTTGAGGGAGGGGATAGATAATAAATAAGAGAGTAACATAGTATATGAAAAAGTAACAATTATTGGGAAGAAAAAAGAAAGCCAGGAATGATGATAAGGAGCACAGTTTGAGGCAGGATGCACTTTCTTAAAGGTTGGTGAAGAAAAGCTTCATGGAGAAGGGACAGTTGAGCAAAAACCTGAAAGAGATAAAGGAGTAAGTGAAAGTTGCTTCCCAGAGTGAGAGCAACCCAGGCAGAAGGGACAAGGTGCACAGACCTGGAGTCACACGCCTGGCAGGCTTTAGAAGAATCAAGGAGCCGGTGTGGCTGTCAGAGACTGGGGGAAGAGGTGAATACTAGACAAGGGTAGAGAGGAGATGGAAGGAGAGGCAGACCATGTATTGCTTTTCCATTGGAGGACTTCAGTTTTTCTTGAGCAAAATGGAAACCACAGAATCTAGATTAGTGAAGGCTTTTTGAGAATTATTCATTAAATAAGCAAATCATTCAGAATCTGCATAAAACTAGATATGGAGAGATAGTAAAGATGACTTGATAGTGATTTAGAAGTCAGTTACACATTTCCTTAGTAATCTTGCAGTCTTGGATTCTCCCATCACTTTACTAGATCACATTTTCATAATGTAAACAAAAATTTACATTTAAATCCATTTTTGAATTATCAAAATTTACTGTGTCTGAATCAACAGTTTTAAATTTTAAACAAAGTGTGAAGCATATGGTAAATATAATAAGATAAAACTTTAGGGACCTAATTACCAAACAAGGGGATTAATTTCATAGGTCATTCATGAAAATTACTTAGTACTTTATTTTACATAATAAAATTTTAAAGGTTTTGTAATGTTTGACTTATACCTCAAATATATGGATTTACATGAATCTACTTTTCTCTCTTTCTTACAGGAAAATATATGTGCAAGAGTAAGTACTTTTTTTAATCAACACTTTGTAATTATACATATTTATGGTGTATAGTTTGATGTTTTGATACATGTATAGATTGTGTATACACGTATACAGGGCAGTTAGAGGCAATGGTTATGCTAAGAACATTTTTTAAAGTAACAGAAATCAAATATAAAAGTAATGGGGAAAAGCTACTGAATATTCCTATCCAAATAAAAATTTTTACATTCCATTTTTCTTTTTATAATGAAGCGTATTATTAAATTTATTACTTTTAATAGATAAGATTGCAAAGTCATTTACCTAAACATTTTTGGTGCATCTAATTTAAATTTTACATTATTTCCAATTTACTTATTTGAGATTATTTTGCATGTTAAATTATTACATATATTTTACTAACCTTTTTAGAAGAATTCTTGTATGTAATTTAAATAAGTTTGCTGGTGCCAGGAACTCTTGGGCAATACTAATCATATATATATTTAAGAGTATTGTTGGGTCCAGAAACAATTCTTCCTAAGAACATTAGTCTTAAAAAATCTCAGATTTGGGGCTGGGTTTGTGGTTTAGTGGAGGAGCGCTTGCCTTGCACATGTGAAGCACTGGGTTTTATCCTCAGCACCACATAAAAGCAAATAAATAAAGGTATTATGTCCATCTGCAACTAAAAATATTTTTTAAAATCTCAGATTAGTGCCGTAATATTTTTGAAGGTTTCAAAGATTAATATACATGAAAAACTTCCTTATGCATTATAGTAAAATACTGAGTTTCTTTTATTTTGGACTCTTGTATGATTTAGAGAGAAAAAAAGCCTATACTCATATGGCATAGGCATGAAATGTTACAATGAAATAATTGGCTAATAGGATAACAATAGGATAAAAACGACCTAACTCTGGAAGATGTATACTTTTCTAGAAAAAATATATGTCTCTAACCTGTTAACGACTGAAACAATGATAGTGATATAAATTTCCATTCAAATTTACCAGGACTTTAAAAAGCACATGTGGTGTCACCATAGTCGGGGACTCTCTGAGAGTCTTCATCTGGTTTGCTTGTCAGTGTAAGAGTGTGTGTGTGTGGGGGGAGGGGGGTGTTTAAAAGAGACATAATTTTGAACTTCTAAGTGTTGCATTAAATACAAAATTTACAAAATGGAATTTATATCAATTTAAGACATAAATATCTGTCATTCAAAGTAGGGTGCAAAGCAACCCTGAAGAAAGTCAGAATTACAGAAATGAGTGGAGGAATCAGGCCCTTAGGCCAAGCTGTTGGTCTGTCTCACCCAAGTGAGGAAGCTGATCTTTTCAGGTGTCAAACAGGCACCCATTTATTAGTCTTTTCTTTTATAAAGAAAATATATGTTTTAGGAGAATTCAATATTTGTTTTATGTTTTCAATTCTTAGGTTATTTGAATTTGCATATGGGCAAGATTATTTTGGTTCTTTCACACATCAGAAGGCTCCAGGGCTTCCCTTAATGATAAATGATGGGGGTTAGGGCAGGGCAGCTGCCTCATTATAAAGCCTGTGTCCTTGTCATTGTGCCAAAGACTAGAGCTTCAACAAAGCTGGATATTAGAGAAAATTTTCATGTGCCCCAAATTCGATTAAGGTTTCTTTTCCTACAATTTAGATCTTTATAACCAAAAGACAAGATAGAGAGGAGAGACAGAAAGGGAGATTTGAAGCAGGAAAAGGAAAATATCCTTCCTGGTGCCGTTAGCATGCCCAGGCTCCCTCAGACAGAATACTTAAAACAGTGCATTGTATTGAAACCCTTGCTTAGAAAACGGCCAAGTTTTCGCAGCAGTCCTGCTGTGTAGGAGTTAGTCCAGTTGGTTATGCCCCCTCTAGCCTATTCTATACATCTTTAGAGAAGAGCAATCCCAGCATGTGGCTGGCTGGAAATCAAAGTCAAGTTCGCCTCAAGTTATTTCCTCCTGTTCTCCTCACTAGGGTCATGAAGCACACATGCTGCTACAGGAAAGGGTAAAAGGCAATGTCAAGTGCTGTGTAATTGTTGGGCTCCTTCGTGGCAAAGGCCAGGCATGCTGCAGTCGAGAGTTCACTGGAAAGATGTGGGCTTTTTAATGGCATCCAAGAAACACCTTACACATGCCAAGAGAAAACTGTCTGTTTTTTCCTACAATCTGCATTTCAAAAAAATAATTATGTTTCTAAACTGTTTACTTTGAATTATAATCTTACATCAACATCAAAGACATCATTAAACTGACAAGAATTGTAGAATCCTCCATAAAGAAAGCATCTGATCCAGGTCCCACATTCTAAAACAAGAAAGAAAATTGAGATACAGTGCTTTGTTATTTCCATGTTTTTGCTCTTTTCTATTTGTTTCTTGTCTGCCCCTTGCTATATAGGTTCCCATCTTTGGCTCTCACAGTTCCTACTAATCTCAAAATGATATAGGTTATTTTCTCTTTTTATTTTTAAAATTATTGGAGCAATGTTGTAAAATAAATAAAATACAAGTGAGTACAGTGAAGATAATGGGTAGTCATGTTCCAGAGATGATCACTGTAACACTGCAATGTCTATCATTTCACTACAGCTTTTTCTTTACACACACACACACACACACACACACACATAGTAAAATAAGACCATTTTTTTAATTTCCTGTATTTCAGCCTGCTGCTTTATCCATAATTTCATCATGGGCATCTTTCCATGTCAGTAAATACAAATTAATATTTATATAACTGTATAATATTCTCTGGTATATATTATATGCACTAATATATTCAAATATACACTAAATTATGATGTATGTGTATTTATATAGATAGATAGATAGATAGATAGATAGATAGATATAAATATGGTATACCATAATTTAGTTTACCAAACTTTTACTGATGGTTGAATTGTGTTATAAACATTGATGTTATATGTTCATTCTTATGCATGATGTTTTTACAATAGTATGATTTTCTTTTTAATAGTGCATTTGGTTTGGTTTGGTTTGGTTTGGTACTGGAGATGGAACACAGGAGTGTTGAACACCCACCTACATCCCCAGTCCTTTTTAGTTGTTATTTTGAGACAGGATCTTGCTAAATTGTTGTAGTTGGCATTGACCTTTTGATCCTCTTGCCCCATCCTTCCAAGTCACTGGGATTGAGAGCGTGTGCCACTTTGCCTGGTTTAGGATGCATTTTTGAAAGTGGAATTGCTAGATCAAAGGACTTCTGATGTTTGTCAGAAAATTTCAAAAAGTTATTTATGAGCTAATTTATATTCCCATTATTCATATGTGAGTCATCCATTTATCCACTACTGGCCAACACTAGATATAATTCATATTTGTATCTTTAGCCTATGACAATGTAACAGGCTAAAAATGGTAATCTATTGTTTTAATTTGCATTACTAACAATCTTGAACATTTTCATGTGTATTTAGCCATTTGTGTTTCATTGCTAATGATCTTTTTAAATGGTTTACACCTTTTTTGAGATGTTCTTTTTCTAATAGATTTCTAATGTCTCCTTGATTAGCAAGTATATTAAGGCTTTATTACTTACTATAAACATATTTCCATCTTATTATTTGATCTTTAACATAGTTTATGGCTGCTTCTGCTTTGTTTTTATTTGTATGGTTTTTCAGAGCTTAATTTTAAAACATACTTATTAATCGCTTTTTTTTTTTTGTATTGTGGTTTCTGGATTTTATGTATTGCTTAGTGATTCCAAGGTTAGTTTTTAAAGTAGAATCTCATGTTTTCTTCACTTTCTTGCATGGTTTCTTTTTTATAGCTTTTTTCTTTTCTCCTTTCTTTTTGGTGCTGGGGATTGAACCTAAGGCCTCCTGCATACTAAGTATTCACTCTATCACTGAGCTACACTCAGCCCCGCTATGGTTTCATTTTTAACAATTGTATATTTGATCTACCTGGCAACTATTTTGGTGTAAAGAATGATGCAGGAATCTGTTTTTTTATTTTTTTATATGGCTAGCTATTTATCCTTGATACTGAATAATACATTTTTTTTATTGAATAGAAATGTCAGGTACCATGTACTCAATGTCCGTACATACTTACATATATTTCTTGATTTTCTAGTTTTTGCTACTCATTTGTTCATATATATATCAGGATCAAATTGCTTTCATTTTTGCATTTTAATAGGCATGACTAGTCTCAACTCAGTACTTTAATTTTTCATAAATTTTTCTAAGTGTTCTTATGTTTCTCCTCTTTTAAAAAACTTTCTCCCCCCCCCAAATGATACAAACTCATGACTTTAAGAGTAAAATAGATTTATAAGATTTGCTATGAAAAATGGTAGTCCTTTCTTTGTTTTAGTCAGTTTTTTCGCTGCTATGACTAAATGACATGACCAGCACAACTGTAGAGGAGGAAAAGTTATTTGAGGTCTTACGGTTTTAGAAATCTCAATCCATAGATAGCAGGCTCTATTCCTTGGAGCTAAAGGTGAGGTAGACATCATGGCATGGTGTGGCAGAGGGAACCAGTTCACAATTAGAAAGCAGTGAGAGAGGTCTCCACTTGCCAGATACAAATATGTACCCCAAAGCCACGCCCCAATTCCCACCTCCTCCAGCCACACCCTACCACTTCAGTTACCACTCAGTTAATCCTTATCAGGGGATTGATTCACTGATTGGGTTAAGACTCTCACAACCAAATCATTTCTCCTCTGAACCTTCTTGCATTGTCTCACACTTGAGCTTTTGCCAGGACACCTCACATCCAAACCATAACATTCATAAATGCTCCTTCGTAGGACACATTATTTTTGTGTCTTTTAGCTGATTATTTTGATATTTATCTTTATGACTCTAAAAGCATGCTTAACTTTTTTCCTAGTCAAGTTTTATCCATTGAATTTCCCTCATAGAAGACAAGAATCTGTCTTTCTGATCTCCATCTCAACACACACACATATGTGCTCCCTTCCCAACTCTCCATCCTCTCTGTATAATTCGGCTAAGCAATTATCCATTTTTGAGTTATTCTATCATATCTGGATACCTTACAGAGTTAAATCTTGGAGTCAACTAACTAATTACTGTTTTCCTGAGAGTTGACAATTGTTGATTCTCCTCTTCCTCCTTCTCTTCTTCCTCTTCATCTCAGTTTTCTGTGTACAAATCATTGATAACAAACTCAAAACCAGCTAACTAAGTCATCATCCAAGACAACCAAATGCATTATGTCTGGTATCAATTTTGTCTCTCTAAAAAGCCTCTCCTAAAGCCTTCAGGCCTCCTGAGTTTGGATTGCTGACACTGGGCACAACTGTTTTCCAGGGACCCTCCTCCTTATCATCAAGCTTCTCTTACCTTCTTTCCTATATTGATTTTGATGGAGTACATACTTTGTTTCCTTCAGACCTCAAAGGAAATAAAATTTTATGAACTTTTTACCCAAAATATGTCTATTTTACCCTCACACTTGATTAAGAGTTTGGTTTCATACAGAATTCTAAATTGAGAATCACTGATCTTCAGAATTTAAAGGTAATTCTTCATTATTTTCTTGCTTTCAGTGTTAGTATGAGAAATTAGAAACTTATTCTGATTCCTAGTCATCTATTTGCATCCATTTGTTTCTATCAAGGGTTGTGTCCAATTTTCTGAAGTTTCATGAATTGCAAGGTATGATTGTGTCTCATCCTTTGTTCTGGACACTTCGTGAATTCTTTCACAATGTGCTAAAATGTGCACTTCTCTTAAATTATTTCACTGATGACTTCCTGGTTATATTTGTTCTGTTCTCTTTTGGTGAATCCTGTTATTAGATATTGATTCCCTAAGCCTTTCCTCTACTTTTCTCATATTTTCTATCCCTTCGTATTTTTACTCTGTTCTTCTGGAAAATCTATGGACTTTTTATTCTGACGTTTGTGAGAGGTTTTTTAAATATTATTTTTCTTTTAATTTTTAAGGGCTCTTTCTTAGTCCTTAAAAAGATCTCTCTTATTTTTATGGCACCCTAAGAATTAGATAGTTTCTGAAACAGGTTTTAGGCTTATCCTTATTTTGATACCCAATCCTTTACCCCCCATTTCCATAGGTGTTTAGTGACCTTAATTAATGAACTTTTGGGGAATGATTAAACATTGGCTCTCTTTTGTCTGCTATATCAGTTATCATTCATTCATCTTCATTCATCTTTTAAAATTTGTTGATAATTCTGTGTTTATTTTCAGTTATTATTTATTTCTAGCAAATGCTATTTGTTTTTTGTATATACAGTTTCAGTACACAGTTTCCCTTAACATTGATTCATATTTTAAAAGGAGAATAAATTGGCGCGCACACACACAAAAAGATGAGTGATTATATAGATGGTGTGGCTACTGTAAAACAAATATTAAATAGGCTAATTGTGGTCAATGAAATAGAGAAAATTGAAGTATGGTATAGTACATATTTTTTCTTCTCCTTTTTTTCTGTAATTAAAAAACAAATATTCCTCATGTTGAAAATTTGACATTTTCTCACTTTTCTGCTATAGTTTATACATTTTTAAATGTCATTTATATTTTCATTGCACATTTTTTTCTTGTACTTGATGTGCAGCTCTTTGCAACAAAACTAGATGCTGCTAAAACAAAGCCAGCTGTGTTTACTTCACTTTGAAAAGTTCCAATAATAATTTGTAATGAGATTAGTGTAGCTATTTATGGCATGAAATACTTGCCAAAGTATGTGTGATAAGGCAAAAGAAGATGAAATAGAATTGCAAATTAATAACTACCTTAGATTTCAACCCAGTATGGGGAATTGTTACACATTTGGTTACTTACTGTGGGGCAAGCAGGTGATAAATGGATTCCTGGCTGATGTCGTTTATATCACACACAGGACTCATCTGCTTCACATGGTTATCAAAACTTAATCCTACTAGGTGGGATTAGGCCAGGTGAACTTTATGACACTGAATGTGTGGAGTGTCATTATCTTACAACGCATCCTCTATCACTTCTACCATATTGCTTGTCTGTCTGATGTAGATATTGGAACATCGTTTCTCATCACTTGGGCAACTGTGCACAGTGTAAGTGTGAAGACAAAAGTGCCTGGGAAATTTCTCATTTTTGAGAAAGACATTTTAAGTCTTGTATCTATGATGATTTTAAAGGAAACAGTAACCATTTATAATTGTGATTATTGTAATTTGAAACATGAAGGTGAGAAAATAGAACTTTGATGCCAAAGAGTGATGGAAAAGAAGTAATGATAACATTTGGACACAACTAAAGGACCTGGGTTGGATTTGATGACAGATAGAAATAAGGGAGAAAGGAGGGCAGCTGAGAGGTGCAAATATAACCTTTAATTCATTTGGGCTTTGGGCACTTTTTAAAGTTAAAAATAGATGTGTTTATATATGTATCTGTATTTGTGTGTATATAAAACAATAGACCATGTTAGTGAACTATTTTATTAAAGTTGGATTTTCTTTCATTGAATTATCTGATTATATTTATATTTTTATAGTATTGTTAGTGATTTATAGCACACTAAATAAATTAATTTTGGCAATAATCAAAGAAAAATTTCAGAAGAAATTCTAATCATAATCATATATATATAATTCTCTCTAATCAAGTTAGTATCTTCCACATTCCTGACTAATTATTTAACTTACTTATTTAACTTCCACATTCCTTAGTTAATTATTTACTTATTTTACTTAAGTGTGTAAAATGTATTCCTGAAAAATCTATGCTTTAGATATATGTAAGAAAATGCTGTCTTTCATGTTTAAGATTCTGTTACTGAAATGCCATCCATTAGAAAAGATTCTTAGTTATTTTTTTCTGTATCCATACTTATTTACATTTTTTAATTCATCTCA